GTCAACGCTCGCGACACATAAGGGGGGCCTCATGAAACACCTTTGGGTGGGGCCACAAGTTGGCCAGGGGCAGCCCTGACCCCAATGATGTTATTACCCCTTCATCCACTCAAGAAGGTGCCGATAATAAGGGATTGTAAAATCAAGTACTATGAGCTCAACGTTCAGACTATTTTTTAATATAGTTTTCTCTCAGTGATTGTGATGTTATGTTAAATGTTCTTTGTTTGTGTTTCATGTATTGTGTCTGGATATGTGTCTATGTTGGTGTTGGACATGGTGCAAGTCAAATTTCAGACTTGATCTGACCAATAAAGTATTATCGTATCGTATGTATCGTAATACATATTATTATTTTTAACGTACAGTATGACCAGAGGGATTTGAGTTGGTCGGACTTGTACAGATATTTTCCAGCCAGAGTTCTGTAAACACCTTCTAATGGAAACACTGCCCAGACCTGGAAAGGGTTATTAATGCCTTTGTTACCTCGAGGTTGGACTACTGCAACGCTCTGTACGTGGGTATGGACCAGGCATCAATTAAACGCCTGCAGCTAGTTCAGAACGCAGCTGCACGTCTTCTGACTGGCCACAAAAAGCGTGACCACATCACCCCAATTCTGGCCTCACTGCACTGGCTTCCAATTCGGTTCCGAATTGATTTAAAAATCCTTTTATTTGTTTTTAAAGCCCTAAATGGGCTGGCTCCGGCCTATATAGCTGAACTCCTCCAGCGCTACACCCCAGCCAGAGCTTTAAGGTCTGCTGACCAGCTGTTGCTGGTAGTGCCCAAGACCAGGCTCAAAACCCGAGGGCACCGAGCCTTCGCAGCAGCTGGCCCTAGGCTCTGGAACACTCTGCCCCTCCATGTGAGGTCGGCCCAGACCCTAGGGGTTTTTAAATCTACACTAAAAACTCACTTCTTCTCTCTGGCCTTCTAGTCAGAGCGGAGCACGACTCCTGACTTTTCCCTGTGTTTTTTATATATATCTGTTGTAATTTATTGTCTTTTATTGTGATTGTAGTAATGTGTTTTTATGTGATTGTAGTATTTATTACATGTACAGCACTCTGGCCCGACCAAAAATCGCTTTTAAATGTGCTTTATAAATAAACTTTGATTTGATTTGATTTGATTTGAAGGTGTTTACAGAAGGGGCAATGTTGTCCATTTCTCACAATATATTGGTAATATTTGAACACATTGTTTAATCAGATAAAACACTGAACATTTTGTTAGTGTTCCACAGCTACATTCCCAGGAGCTCCATGACAGCTTCTGAGGCTCAAGAGGGATGTTGCTGTTGACTAAGATCCCATGAGCCTTAGCCCTGGCACGCTCTCAAAGCCTCATTGGAGCTGCATGTGTTGAATGTTCAAATCAAAAGGTGTTCCAGTTCTAAAACCCAGGACAGGAATCGATACTCATTTAGATTTGAATACTGACAGGCACCCCCCACACATTGTTCCGAAATATATACCAGACTTTAAAAACATGTGATAAGCACTGCAGTTTAGTCTACTTGTTATCAATTCATCAAGCAGCTGTAAGACCTGTGCAGCCGTGGTGTCAGAGCCTGGTCTGACCACAAAGGGAGGAAGAGGGTGAGGGGTGGGGGCTTGGTGGTGGGCTGAACTAATCTGCAGTGCAGACAGGACTCTGCTGTGGGAAGCTTCCAAAGCAGTTAGGAGGAGAGATAGCTGCAGGAAAGAGACAGGGGAGAAGGCTCATAAAGCACTGAAAAGAAATAGAGGAAGAATAAGTGTGGGGGCGGAAGCCAGAATCAAATGAGTTAAGACAGGTAAAGGACTGAATCAGAATAAGAAGTAAAGAGAGATGACATAAAGAAAGTTAGTAGTCACGAAAACAGAGAAGGAAAAAATGAGGAATAATCTAAAGAAAGAAGGGAGGAGGTGGAGGAGAGTTGGACTGTGGTAAAGTGGAGAGAAAGCAGGAGGAGGGAGCGTTCAGAGAGAAGTGGACGGCAGGGGAAACAATCAGCATATCAAAGACACATAGAGAGGAGCAGCAGTGGTGTTGCAGCTCCTTTCTTCATGAACATTCTGCTTTAAATGCACCGTGCAGCATCAGAAGCTGTACTCAAACTGTTTAGAGCAGCTGCTCTGAGCGCTTCTATTGAAAAACCACTGAACTTTCCAGAAAGGTGCTGAGCTCCCAAAGGACCTGCCAGCACCTTTCTGCCAGAACAACATGCTTTACGAACACTCAGCCTCACAGAAACATGATCTTCCTCCCGCTCACACACAAACACACACAGTCTCAGTACCTAAGTTGAAAACATATCATTAAATGAATAGTCCCAACCAGGGGCGTCGCCTGGACCTGAAAACATTCGGGGCTTAGCCCACAGTGGCGGCGGCACTACAGTGGCATTTTTTACTGCAACACTCCCCACACGCACACACACAGTACACCCGCGACTGTTACAATGAAGGCTCGATAATCAGCTCACGGCATATAGGCAGGGGTAAAGTGGTATTTTTTATGAGTGGGGGGCTCACCTCCTCGAGGGGGGTCCGGGGGGATGCTCCCCCGGGAAGATTATTTTTTAAATATTGAAGTTAAAAGCATCAATCTGGTGCACTTTGAGAGCAAAATGAAGAGATCTATGGATACCTCTCTCAACACCCATATGAAGCAGAACTGTAAACAGATTCTTTATGGATATTTTACTAATCACTCCCCTTTTAAACTCTATTCTTGTTTTACTGCCATATAGTATTTCATAACTGTTTTTCCTTTATTCTCTTTTTTTTATAACTATAATGATCATATGAAGGTGTGCCGCGGAAATAATCTTTTGAATAATTTGTGACCAAACCGTTTGAGACCCACTGAGATAACTTAGACTAAAGTTAACTATCTAAACACTCAGAGAGTCCTTTAGCTCACCTGAGTCTCTCAGTCTGAGAGGAGAGGACTCTCCTCCAGCTTCTTGTGGAACAAACAGCTCCTTATGTCCGTTAGTGCAGCTAGCTAACCAGATGCTAACAACACGGTCCATGCTGACACCGGTCTCTCCCTCTCCCTCTCTCCCTCTCTCTGGCCCAATCCCAAACCGCCCCCTACACCCCACCCCTACACACTACCCCTCCGTTTGCGCGTTCGCGCGGAGGGTCCGCCACATTAAGTGCTGTTCCAAACCAACGAGTGTGGAGCGGTGTGGAGGGGGAGTGGGCTATCAAGCCCTCAAACAGCGAGTCTGCAGCGGTGCTGACTTGAGACCGGTCTCTACCTGACCGGAGTCACGCTGTGTGTGTCCGTCAGGAAACACGCTGTTAAAAAGTAGTTCCAGCAAACATCCACTGATAAACTGCGATGTTAACAACGTCATGATAACCTCATATTTTTTTAACTTAGGATCGTACCTGTGTTTAGTCTAGAAAAAGGTAAATGTGTGCATTTTATTATAAAGTTGTGTATATTTACAGACTGTTGCAAAAACTAAGAAGCTTATAAACATCAGGTTTAAAACTAAAAGAGCTTTACAGAAAAAGTAACACAATGAAAGATGTTTGTAGTTTTATTTGAGTTATTAATTTACATTTTTTGTCTAAGAGATGCTGATTTGAAACCGTTGTTACATACAGTTACGGCATTTCCTGTTTCTGCCGGAGAGAGGGGAGTTTGTCCCAAAGCTTGCCGCTGTATTTACTCCCTCCATCTGACAGGAGGGAGCCTCGTGTGGCTACAGACGGAGTTCACTCCGTAAATTTGCTTCGATAGTTTAGTTTCTAAATGTAATTCATGTGTTTTCAAGTTGGTGAAGATGTTTCTTCATTAGAATGTGTTTCGGCACATTTGTGTTATTATATTTGCATCTTTTCTAAAGCTGCAGTACATTTCTCCCAATGGAAGTGTTTTTGGACGTTGTAGCGACTTTAGATATCATCACTCCTCAGTCACACCACTTGAATAAAACTCTGAGTACCAGGTGACAGCAAAGTTTCATAACCATGTTCAGGGAAATCCACATCTCTGTCAGCAGGCCTTCACAATTTGAATCCCATCTTTCTAGATAATCAGCGTCTGCAGGAACCAACTGTTCCAGGTCTGTGTCAATAAACAGTGCCTGTTACTGTGTGCAGCCCATCCCAACATATATTCTCTCTCTCAGGGGCTTTCGGAGGCAAGGATGTGTGACAAAGAAAGCAAACTGGAACTAAGAGCCTCCGCTGGAAGAAGTTGTAAAAGTTCCACAACAAAAGTTACCACGGTGGAAGAGCAGTGAGTGAAACGACTGAAGAGGAAATAAATACGCAGCAGCAAAGGAATACAAAGAGATCTGTGTGTGTGTGTGTGTGTGTGTGTGTGTGTGTGTGTGTGTGTGTGTGTGTGTGTATTTTGAGGTTAAGGGAGTAAGTGGTGATAAAGACAAATATATCGTTCCATCTCTGCTCCTCCCTGATCTTATCAGGGTGTGTTAAGTGAGGGGAAGCCACAAACACACAAATATTTCAGCAGAGTAGGATGTGTGTGTGTTTGGGCGAGAGGAAAGAATGGTGGGAAGAAAATGTGTCCTCAAACATACACACACACACTTGAGTCAAGTCCTCATCAATTATAACCCTATCACTGTGTTTTCTCTTTCTCTCACACACACACACACACACACACACACACACACACACACACACACACACACACACACACACACACACACACACACACACACACACACACACACACACACACACACACACACACACACACACACACACAGCAGTGTGTAATCCCCTGGCTGTGAATAACAGCAGATAGATGTTTAGTATTCCGAGAGGCGGACGGAAACCAGAGCAGAGAGCGAGCTGGCTGCAGGAACAAAGCAGCCCCTCCTCTCTCTCTCTGGGAGTTGTTAGGTCTGTGTGTGTGTGTGTGTGTGTGTGTGTGTGTGTGTGTGTGTGTGTGTGTGTGTGTGTGTGTGTGTGTGTGTGTGTGAAATTGTACCATTAACCAACAAAATATAGTAGACTTACCCAAACCAAAGTCATGGGGTCGAGCTGCCCTGAAACAGAGAAGGATTTGATTAGGAGACTGAACTCAGTGAATTAGCGTGTTGTTGTTAAGGATTTTATTTTAGTTACAAAACCACTTTACAGTCATAAACTGTAACACTTTAGAGAGCAGAATGTATTGTCAATGAAGTACTTCCTTACACTTAAGGTATAATAGACATACGTTTCTACACACACACACAAACACGCATGCATCAATGTTTCCATTAACCGTTATTTACCCGGCAATATCTGTTGAGGTCCAACAAATGTAAATCTCTCTGGTCATAAATAATTACCTGTTTGCACAATTTATTATATATATATTTTTCCATTATGCACATGTCTTATGAGGGGACTTGTTTTATTTCAAAATTACCTAGTTTCAAATCTACATGCCTTGATAATGTCATTATTTAGTCTTCCTATCAAATGGTTTTTAAACCCAATAATAAACACAGATGAGATTTGACCAGAATTCCTCCCCTTTGACATTGAAACCTTACGGGACACGTTCACCAGCACCATGTTTTCTAACAGAACGCTGAGGTGGTGCCCTCAGAGAGCAGCCCCAGAGCAGCGCCTCACAGTGACGCAGCAATTTCTCTTCAGCCTCAATGTCCCGAGACACTCAACTGGAACAAAACCGCCTGAGATCAATAAAGAAAGTTATTGGTTGAAAGAGATTTATTTATTCGGCTACGATAAAAAGCCTTTAAGATAATCAGTAGTCAACATTTCTATTGAGAGCATATAGAACTCAGCAGGTGCTTACTTATCTGTCAGTGTGTGTCTCTGATTTAGTGCCAGTTACTCCAGCCCACGTGTTATATATAAGTGCGTTTTAAATTCTTCATAACTTCCGCACTTTTTTTTGTATTTTGTTCCTCACTTCTCTTGGTAAATACAATTATTTGAAGGGAATCTGCCTGGAGGAATTCAATCTAACCACAGAGAGCATCTCTCTCTCTCTCTCTCTCTCTCTCTCTCTCTCTCTCTCTCTCTCTCTCTCTCTCTCTCTCTCTCTCTCTCTCTCTCTCTCTCTCTCTCTCTCTCTCTCTCTCTCTGTCTGTCGGCCTCTCCTCTCACTGAGACGTGCCTCAGATAGTGATGAGGGCTCCTGTCAACAACACCCAACACGGCGGTGTAAATTGGATTATTGATCTGTGTGCAGTAAGAGAAAAGAAAGTGTGTGTGAGAGAGAAACACATAAAAGAGAAGGATGATGACAGATAAAGAGAAGCGAGTGAAAGAGGTCAGAAAGTGTAAAAGACACCAGAGGCAGACAGCTGATAGATGAAAGCTCCATACAGAGAAAGAAGAAGATCAATGTGTTCCTACAATGTATTTCAACCTCTTAAAGATGCAAACAAGTCCATACTTTACTGCTTGATATCCTTTATACTGTGTACAGGACTTGTTACATGTTTGCAGCTGTTCCAATAGGTGTCAAGCATTTTCCCTTTTATACTCGTACTGAATTCAAGTTTAAAATGATGGTATTGTTACAACCATTGTATATAAAGTAGACATACCAGATCAAGGGTTTTTGGCCAAATCAAATAAGTATTTGCAGATTCTGAGTCTGAGTACTTACAATATTTACTCAAACGTGATGGAACACTTATAAACCTTATTTCACACATTATTTTTTCACAACCTATGGCTGTTCCAAAACGATAAAGATTATAAACCTAAATTATTTATTTGAATGAGAGATTAACATAGAGAACGAGATGATCAGCCAGATCGCATAAGTCAGAACCAGTCTAACCCTACGGTGGGGTTACAGGGTGGAGGTTCTTCCCTCAACAAAGACCATTAGCTGCAGAGAGCTCTTTAATCAGACAACAGAACGTTTCATTTTGCCCAGTCATCAAGTTTATAAAACCGCTGGTCAGCAGAAGTAACAACAAAAATGCACATTGAAGAGATTCAGGGCTGGCAGGCTGTCTCTAAAAAACAGTCAGCGACCCATTGAAGGCGTTCTCACACTGGCTCCATCATTCATTGGTTGGGAGGGGAACCAAAGCAAAAAGCAATCAACACATTAATACCAATCCTCCAACGCTTTATTGGTGCAGGATTCACTGGGCAACCTCAAGTGCTAAGCATATTTTAAAAGATTTACCAAATGCCTCAGATGGTTTTGCAGGCTTCTAATTACCTAATTCCCAAATGCAACAGAATATTTAGATAATACATTTACATATAGTGCAGTTCAGCACCACTATCAGTTAATGTATTTTCAGTTAAGGGTGACTGCTTCATGTGTTTGTCTGACCGGAGACATGCTCCTGGCTCACTGCTGCATGCTTTCTTAGATTTTCTAAATGACCTCTTGTTCATCATTATCATTGCTTTCTGTTGACTCGCTAATGATAATACCAAAATGACGGTAATAGTGAAGTAGAGATTCGACCAAGTCCCACCACCTGATGTCATGTTAACATCCTCCCACTTGGAAGGATCCTCCTTCAACACCAACTCCAGTTCCACTGTCAACCCCTCAACTCACGTCCGTAACCTTGGCACCATCCTAGACCCCGCTCTCACTTTCCTCCCTCACGTCAACCAGGTCACAAAAACCGCCTTCTTCCAGTTAAAGAACATTGTCCGCATCAGACCCTCCCTCTCATCCACCGCTGCTGAAACCCTCATCCATGCCTTAATAACATCCAGACTGGATTACTGCATCAGCATCCTCTATGGTTCACCTGCATACATCCTCAATAAACTGCAATATGTCCAAAACTCTGCTGCCCGTATATGCTCACCTCCACCCGACGCTCCGACCACATCACCCCTCCACCACCTCCACTGGCTCCCCATCAAACACCGGATTCACTTCAAATTATTACTTCTCACATACAAAGCCATTAAGAACCTTTCCTCCCCCTACATCAGTGACCTTATCCAACCACACACCCCTACCCGTCGCCTCAGGTCTGCTGACAATAATCTACTACAGTCCATCAGGACAAAGCTCCGGACCTGGGGTGACAGGGCCTTCGCAGCAGCCCCTCCTTCCTCTGGAACTCCCCCCCCTCCCTCTGGACCTGGGGTGACAGGGCCTTCGCAGCAGCCCCTCCTTCCTCTGGAACTCCCCCCCCTCCCTCTGGACCTGGGGTGACAGGGCCTTCGCTGCAGCCCCCACCCGTCTGGAACTCCCTTCACAGTCACATCCGAAGGGCCAACACTCTTGAATCCTTCAAGAAATCTCTCAAAACTCACTTATTCACTCTAGCTTTCAATCTCTAATCATCACATTTCCCATAACTGTGTTAGGTTAGTTGAAAGCAATAATATTAAGTTGAACTTAATATTTTTATTATTGCTTTCAACTAACCTAACACAGTTATGTGACATTTGATGGCATAATACATTGAATTAGAGTCAACATTACAGTTTTTACAGTGTGTGGTGCAGCCAGGTTTAAAGGTCCCATGACATGGCCATTTCTACTGATCATAATTCCATTGTTGAGGTCTACTAGAATAGATTTACATTGTTCAATTTTCCAAACTCACATTGGTTTCTCATACAGCATCTCTGTATAGTATGTGTATTCACTCTCTGTCCTAAACGGCTTGTTGGAGCTCCTGCACCCCTCCCTATGAGCCCACTCTGTTCTGATGAGTCCACCACCGTTACAGCGGAACATCAGTGTTTATGTGTTACAATGGCGTTTGTTAGCAACCAGGAAATGACACCAGTAATGACAAACAGATGAGAATGCTGCGTGGGGTCTGGGTGCCGTGTTGGCGGGACGTTACGGGGCTCGCTGCCCCGCCCTTTGAGGCTCGAGGAGCGGACAGTGTGAGCTGGATTACTGGTGTCGTTTCCTGGTTGCTGCGTGGGGTCTGCGAGACACCGTGGAGCTCAGCCTGAGCACACACACGTGAGTGTGTGGCGAACTGTGAGTGAAGATCCACGGAGCCGCGGCTGAGAAAATATAAGGCTGATTGAGTGTGTGTGTTTGAGGAGCTCCACGGATTGGTCCATTTGGACCTGGGTATCGTTACGTCACTATACTCAGGAAGAAAAAAATGGAAAAAGAGAAATGTCCAACGAGGCGTTCTGGGGCAGCATAGACAGGTCTTTTCTGTGTTAGAGTTTTACTCGCTACAGGGTGTACTTTGAGGGGTTGTGACTCTGCAGACCGTTTACATGCAGACAAAGCTACATAACACACAAGGGGACGGGTAATAACCGGAAAAGCATGACATGGGACCTTTAAGATATCCTGCTCTGATGAACACCTGCCAGCCAATCAGAGGCTGCTCATGATGTGAGCATGTCTGGAGAACCGAGAGAGAGAAGACACTCTTTATAAAGACGAGAGGCAAGAAGGACAACCAGACACAGAGAGAGAACGCCCTTAACATCATGAGACGAAACAAGCCCGCACACACGTGTTGTTTGTTCATTGGAAGGGGACAGGACAGAAATGAGCACCCAACTGAAGTTGTTGTGTTATAGAAGTGTATGTGTGTATACGTGTGTGTGAGATTGTTAAAATCAAAGTGAGCAGTCAATAAGGTGAAAACATTTGAGTTTGTTCCTGTGTTGTGTTTTGCTTTGTCTCTCTTTTCTCTTGTTATCTAATATTACCAGAGAGGGCACCAGCTAACGAGAAGCAGGTATGAGCCAATATCAGGACGTACGTACGCACACACACACACACACACACACACACACACACACACACACACACACACACACACACACACACACACACACACACACACACACACACACACACACACACACACACACACACACACACACACACACACACAGATAAAGATAACCTTAATAAAGTGTAATGGTTGTTGACATCTTCACTCTGGGTTGGTCCTCAGGCCTGGGGCAGCTTCACATTACACTCTCTCTGATTTTCTCTCTACCACCTCTGCTGCTCTCATAACAAAACACCTGTTGTCAGCCAGAGATCCAGAGCAGGAAAGCTTAGGAGAAGGAGCTCGTTGAAACAATGCTGAAGAAATAT